CTACTTGCTGCTATTGCAAGCTTAGAGGCTAAGGTCGCCCAAAGCGGGAGGAAAGTGGAGGAACACCTTAGAGAAACATACACCAAGTATCCGAACCTAGTTGGAGAGTATGGGCACCCAGGCACCCAACACGATGTGCTATATAAGGCAGAATATAAGCACGCTGATGAGCAGGCCGAATGTGATCTCTGCTCCAAATCTGAGGTTGTTATTCGAAAAAATCGGGATAGCACTGCGCCAGTGGTACACTACGGCCTCGTTGCTTCTGGAAATCAAGTTGTGAAGCATGGGGTAACGAGAGACAGAATCGGTCAAGATATCGGCGCGATATGCTTCGAAATGGAGGCGGCAGGCTTAATGGATAATTTTCAGTGCTTGGTGATAAGAGGTATATGCGATTATTCGGATAGCCACAAAAACAAGCGCTGGCAACCGTATGCAGCGCTCGTGGCAGCGGCGTATGCGAAGGAGTTACTAGGGCACGTGGCGACGCAAGGCAAGTCCTCTCCTCTCCTTTTTTTTCCCAATCCGGCAGCAAAAATCGACAATAATGTGATACCAAGATGATGGCTGACGGAAACGTAGTCCCAACCTACCATAGCCCAACTTTGAAAGCTAGCGAGCGCATCTTCGACATCCCCGGGATCCTTCACCCTCGTTTCAGCGGTCGCCAAAAGTATCTAGATCGGGTTGAAGCCATTTTTCGTGGAAATACTTCCAAGCAAGGCACAATTGTGTCTGTATTTGGGATGCCAGGTTTGGGAAAGTCCCAAATGTGCCTCAAGTACGCCACAGATCACAGAGACGACTATGATTATGCCTTTTACGCATCTGCGAGTACGGCAGAACATTGGCTCGAGAGCTGCGATAATATTATTCGTAGATTGAAGTTACCTGAAGCAGACTTACAAGATCAGTCTCAAAGGGTGGCAGCACTGAGAGCCTGGCTCGCGGGAACGCCCAACTGGATTCTAATTATTGACGACGCTTGGTCGTGCGCGGTAAATGCGGTGAGGAATATACTTCCATCGGGATTTAGTGGAAATATACTACTCTCAACAAGGGACAAATTTATTGCGGAAGATTTCAGCGGCGAAGAGGGTTGTATAGCCTTAAAAGAGATGGATGCGGACGAGGGGAGGGAGCTCATCTTGAAGGTATATAATCAACGCAATGCAACTAGGAACCAACAGAACAACCAGAGCGACGTTTGTAGGGACATCGGAACACTCGCTGAGATGATCAACCAGGAGCTAGGAGGTTTACCATTAGCCCTAGAGCAGGGAATGACTTGTGCGAAACAGCGGTGCTGGAGACTGGATGCCTTTTTAGAAAACTTGCAAGAGAATAAACAGTCGATCATGCAGGATCCCACTCAGACGAACCCACATCATGCAAATATTACAACGACGCTGGGCATCGCGCTGGAAGGGTTGAAGTCACATCATGTTGCGCTTTTGAATATAATGATGATGATGCGGCCACAGGGTCTACCGATGGGGATATTGATTGATGGCGGTCCGTATATAGAGAGTATAGCGCTGAATGAAGAGGGCAAGAGGGGGGCGAGGGGGAGGAAGCGCTGGATTCAAAGATTTATCAACAGGCTGAGTGGAAAGTCAAGGCATCAAAAATCGATGTCATCACAGTTAACATTACAGTCCACTGAAATCTCGAGCGTGCCAGACGTTACGGACGAGGCCAGCATCAAGGAAACAGACACAAATGAAACCTTCAAGTTGATGCGAAGAGCACTCGGGTCGGAAGCAGAGCTTAGTGTGGCTATCGTAGAAATGGAAAAGTCTTCCCTGATCCGACGTGGAGACGACGGAGAGATCTGGATGCACGACCTTGTGCGGGAGGTCCTGCTGGGGGGGCTAGGGGAACAAAAGCGAAAGGACTATCTGTTGTACGCCATAAAAATCGTCAAATGGGCGTTCCCGAATGTAGATAGCAGTAGTCGGAGACCCCAGTTGGAGAAGTGCAGGCTTTATCTGCCGCATGCGATGGAAGTGTATAACCTGATGAAAAGCTACGGCTTAAACAACGCTGATAGGATACATGTGGCAGAGTTGATGGGACAGTACATTGCCGATAATGTGGGACTGGATGACGCGGTCAATTTTCTTGATGAAGCGGTGGAGTATCGGAGGAACGTTCTTGGAGTTGACGATGAAGCCGTTGTTGCGGCTTGGAACCTCGCTGAGGTTTATAATCGAAAGGCGGAACCCGAGAATGCTTTGGCTGTGCTCCAACAGATGCTGGACAGTGTCGAGGATCTGGAGAAAAAAGGGAGCTTGGGGCGTGTGAGTGAGTACGAGAAGTTTGATCTTCTTCGGGGTATAGCATATATGCATGGAAATCTGGGTCGGTATGAAGAGGCAACAGGGAAGTTCACGGACTTAATTGCCGAGATCGAAGCAACGAAGCCGTTTCCTCACAAGGATTTGATTCTATGTGAAGCCCTTCGCACTACCGGCAGATCGTACTATCGCCGGGGAGATGCAGCAAAGGCGTTGGAGTATTACGAAAAGGCCCTCGAACACGCTAAAAAAAGGTCACTGCTGGAGGTTGAGTTTCGGTTGGAGAGAAATTTGAATTATGATATCGCAGGTGCCCTTAAATATCTGGGGCAAACTGAAAGGGCGCTGGAACACTGCCAGAGGTCGCTTGAAGCCGGCCGGGAGGCGTGTGGAGATGGACACTTCAACACAGTTGTTCAGGCTGAAGTTATGGGGTATATATACAAGGATAAAGGGGAGTATGCTAGAGCACTCGAGTGTTTTGAGCAAGTCATTCCCGCGTATGAGAGGATATACGGCAAGGATCACGTCTACACGAAGAAGGTAATCGACGATGCCGAAAGGATACGATCGATGACCTAAATTAATATTTATTATGCATGTACATAGGCACCGACTTAGTTATTCATTATAAACATGGATCCCATAATTATATATAAAGCTAGAGGGATCAGGGTTCTTATATATGCGTTTATATAGTTATATATATAAACCCCCAAACATGCAATCCTGACACATGAGCATGAGTAAATATGTATGGTCAGGAAACCTCATGCACACTCGTATTCATGTTATAGTCAGTGCTGTCAAAATCCAAGTCCACAATGACTTGTTAGTCTGTATAATCGATATTATATATAAATTAATATAGTCATGGCATCCCGACTCAATTAGTTTGGTACCGATCTTGCAGCCCGATCGATCGATTTCTATAACAGAGCCCTTAAGTTGGCGTGGCCGAGTATGCATGCATGCTAGATGATCTAGCCTCCTCGAACCCGGGCGCTTAAGGCGAGGTAGTTGGTTGTGATTTGTATCTGCACTCAGGATAGTCTCCGAGACTAATCTGGATCGATCGATCGGGAAGGGGGCCCCTTGCGTTTCGCTTCGAATTCCGGGTCGGCCCTTGGTGCGTGCTAAAGGTGTATATAGATACTTACTTACTTAATTACTGACATCACGAGTCAGCACGTAAATTCTTCGCATGCAGTACAACATTCTATCGTATGTATTCCCGGGATCCTGTATACGTACGTGGAAATCTACCTGGCTAGCTAGCTGGCACTCTGGCTACGAGACTCGTCGACTAGGAAAAAAAGTCTATATAAAGTCGAGGAAAACCCCTCCGACTCGTACTTTATCATCACTCAGGCACTCAATCTCTCAGGTTAACATCCTATCGATATCTTAAAATTTATATATATATATATATATATTACATCTCAACTTCATTCCAACCCGAGTCCCACTTTAGCTAAGCTTATAAGCCGTGACGAAGACCGCAAATATGGATTTCCACCCAGGCGGCTATAACATCTCCGCCAAACTGCGGGACGGGATCAGCGAAACTTTCCAGATCGGCGAAACCCTGATCCCCTACGGCCCAAAGTCCCTCGTGGCCATTGATACCCATGCTAATCCCGATGTTCCCAAAATTACTGTGAGCAATATCCTCAGAGGTTCCAATTCGCGGCCCTTTGGCCTGTATTATATTTACGACTAACACTGTAAATATGATACATAAGATAGTGGGACATCGGTCACGTAACTGCCAGTCACTACTTTCAAATTAAACACAATGGAGCCATCATCAGGTACAAAGCTGACGGCGGGAAGCGATCTCTCGTCCCTACTTTTGGAGTGGGGGTAGACCCCACAACCTGGTGGACACTGCATCGTCTGGAAGATTCTAGCTATATGTAATCACTTTATCCCTTTAATTTAACGAATAGTCCGATGGGTCGGACTGGGACTATCGGATATCATTGTAATATAACTAATATATTGGAATCAGGATCAAAGATGTAAACGGCGCCCTTTGTTGGCAAGTAAGTCACGAGAAGGTCAACAGGGAGTGCTATGAGGTAAGTTTTTCTTTTTCCCATTTCACGATTTATATTAATATTCCTATATGATTCATGGGGGGGGATGTCTTTGCTAATTGTTACAAAATGTTTGTAGCTGGAGGTCGTTGAAGTCGAGCAGGCAGGCTCTGATGCTGCTCGAGCTAGATTTACCTTTTCCGGTGTGGATTTTTAATTGCTGAGGCGCCAGGCATGCCTCAATTACAAGCTGCGCCGAAGATGAAGTCTTCCTGAATCAAGGGGGGCAGGGCAGAGCCGTGATCCGGCTCCCTTGCTGTGCGGTAGCAGCAAGCTAGTGTAACAATTAGCAACCCCCACGGTTTGTACCTTTAGTCTCGGTAGATAAGAAAAGAATGGAATTTTAGAAGCTTTGTACGGTACAGCTACGATAAATGTATTTTCATCCTAGTCTTACGATCTTTTTATATTATTGTTCGAGGTGTCCGAGAATGCTGCATCAACTGCCAGCAGTCGAAAATGCAATGTAGGCGTCTAGATTGCCACGACTTGTGGTATAAAAAGTGTTGCCACGAGGTGCTTGACGTTGCTGCGCCAATGCGAACTAAAAATGCCCATCCAAAAAATCAAAAGCCAAAAAAAAAAAAAAGAAGAAAGGAGCGACCGTGGATTGAACACGGGACCTTGAGATATTTGTTACGCACTGCAATCTCCTGCTCTACCGCTGAGCTACCACTCCAACCACTAAGCTAAACAGCTTGGATGTTTGTCACGACCAATTTTAACAATTATGAGGTAAATAACAAATAACGTGCACAGAACATCACGATTCATAGCCTGCCGGCAGTATGCAGTGTACGTCCGAACAAAACAGTCGTGCAGAACCACTCTTCAATAGACAAAGGCATTGTCCGGGGAAAGGGCTGTAAATTAATCACCAGCAAGGATCAGGCACCGAATCTGCCAGCAAAACGTATGCATCCGCTCAATTGGAAGACGTTAACGTCAACCCACCTTTTTTTTTATGTCACAACTTCAGGCATTTTTTAGGCGCCTGCTAATACAAAAACGCTCCCTCGCGCACGCCCTGCTTTCGAGGTGCACTGTATCACAGAAACAACCCTTTCCCCTCAACCTTTTTTTGTTTTATGCGGAAAGTCTATGGCTTTTTAAAATATAAACATATCTTTATTTGTATGAATATTTAAATATTTACGGCCGGCTTGGTTTGGGGACGATAGCGATCGATTGGACTTAACGTAGTCTGCAATATCCTAACTTCGTGTAATCATAACCCCATATAAGATACCTACAGCCAACGAAATACCTTGTCTCGGAAATACCCCCGAATCAACTCCCGGAAATCGTCATTTCCAGTATATATAGGCATAATTTGAAGGAAGCAAAAATGATAATCCCAAAACCTTTGGTTTATTGCGCGATTCTGGTAATTTACAATATTAACAATACACTACTATACACAAGTAACTATATGCTAACAGCACTCGCTAGTTGTTCGTCACAGTATTCGCTCTGGGAGTCTTTGCCATCTACACGGCCACAACATACAAACTACCTATGACAATCCTTCCGATCATAGCAACAGCCCTCGGACCAATTGACGCCCTTTCAACCTACAGATCGATTGTAAATGCCCCAACCTCGCGAAGAACATCTAGACCCCCACTTCCGCATTTACATCTCGCGATCAACCTAGCGCTCCTCATTCTGCCGACCGTGCTTACAGCGCTGGGCGCACCGTATTTAGGAAGCCAAGTGTCGAAATGTCAACTCAAAGATACTTGGCAAGCATGGTATTCCGCCCATGATAAAAATGCTATTAAGGGAGTGCAGGACGCTTTGCAGTGCTGTGGGTTCGGAAAGGCGACGGAAATGCCGTTTCCTTTCCCCAAAGATCCCAAGAAGGGCGACCCCACCCCTCCAGTTAAGGCGAATACTTGCGCAATTGCGCTAGGACACGATACACCTTGCGCTCCCGCTTGGGAGGGTGAATTGAAAGTTGTTGCAGGGTTGGTTGTGGCAGCTGCGGCTATATCGATCCTCATGAAGGTAAACAACTTGCCCGTTCGAATTGATTTATAAACCTCTGTAGCGATAGGACGCTAAACGAAACGTACTTTTTTTGTAGGTCGCTTTCTTGATGATCACCATAGGCAGGCCGGCGTTCTCTGAGGAATGGTTCGCGAGACGGGATTATACCCAGTATGACACTACTCGTACCATTGAGCCTGTTGATGACGAAGAGTCGGACGAAGATGAAGTGCCGCCGCCGCATGTCACAAGGAATGTACCAGGCCCTGAAAACGGCATAAATGAGAGGACGGGATTGTTGACGCGAGGCCCCAGAGTTGAGGTAACCAGTTTGCAGGGAATAGATGGTCACCTCCCGTGGAGAGATTCTGGTGCACGAAACTTCGGCAGCAATGATTAGAGGCGCTAAAGGTTGAGTGGTATTGAAGTTTGCGAGAAGGGGAGGGAATATAGTGTCGAGAGTGGGGGGAAGGAGGGAAGGAGTAGTTAAGGATTCCATAGAGTTTTTACCATCTCGGAAGTATCCAGAAAAAAGTCATTAAACGGGAGATGAAAGAGGAGATATAATGAGATCTCGAATCCAAAATGCCGTTATTCTTTGCGAAGTTGATAACTGTGCGGTAGAGCCATCGATCAGACGAGGCTACCTCGCCTCGGTCCCAGTAGCCTCCACACCGCCCACAGAATCCTTCTTGACTTCTCCTGGGCTGACGGCGACCTCATCAACAGCCGACCCCTCACCCATCTCCCCTTCAACCACAAAGTAGCTCCCAAGTTTACTCTTCGCCTGCTTCAAAGGATCCCACGTCTTAGCCCCCATAGGCCCAAAACCCTCCACCTCCTTCTCAGCCCGCAGAACATCTTCCAACGTAATACCATCCTCCTCCTCGCTTTCATCTCTAATAGCCACCAACGGCTCCACACCCGTAACATCCACCTCTTTGATCTTATTCACAAAGTAAAGCTGATCATTCAAATCCTTGATCATTTCGTCCTCCTCCTTTTGGTCCTTCGGCATGGGGAGCGCAGAGAGTCTGAGAATATGTCTGAGCTTTTCCGGGGTGACCACGTCTTTTGGATCTAGAGGTGGGCTTTTCGAGGTACTTTTTGGATGGCTGGGCGGTAATAGCTCTGTTATCGACCAGGTCGGCTTCTCGAGTATGGCCCGGACGTATGCTAAGGACTCCTCGGATGGTGTATATCTCGGCCGTTTCTTAGCCGGTCTCCATTCAGGTTTCCACTCCGGCAATGACTCCTGCTGCAGCCTACGAACAGTCGTAGAGAACAACCTAACCGTCGACCGTCGAACACTCATGGTTTCCTTGAAATAGAAAAAATATGACGTTGTAGAAACCGCGTTGTGTCGGAGAGAAGAACAGCCAATGTCATCACGCCAAGCCCCCCGGCAATGGCTCCCCACCACAGACCACATCCATCCCGCCTATAACTTCCCCCTGCCACCAGCTGGCAAACCCCGTCATCCTCATCAGAACCAACATTCTATCATTTATTGCAACCACTCATCATGGACGGCCGAACTCTCCTCGCACAGGTGCGTATTCTGTCCTGGGATCCTGACTTTTGAAAGAGAAAGCTACTAAAGAATCAACCCCGCAATAGGCACAAAAGCAGGAAGCTGCATCAGCGGGTGGCTTCAGCTGGTTCGGAGCCAGCAAGCAGGATAAGCTCGAACAGGCTATCGAATTATACGCCCAAGCTGCGAATGCCTTTCGAACATCCGGTCAAGGTCTCTCAAAACCTCTCTCTCGAATATATATACATATATATACACATACCCGACTTGAGATAGCTATCTAACACTGCAACAACAATCTACAGGATCCGAAGCCGGCGCTGCATTCGAGAAAGCCGCCGCCCTGAGCAAATCCATCAACGAACCCAACGATGCCGCAAACTACCTCACCGAAGCCTTCAAATCCTACAAGAAAACAAACCCAGCCGATGCTGCAAGGACCTTAAGCCAAGCTATCGAACATTACGCCCTCACCAACGTTCGACGGGCAGCAACACAGAAGCAAACCCTCGCAGAACACTTGGAAACGGATCCTGCTACGAAACCAGACGCCATTAGGGAATATGAGAAGGCTGGGGAGTGGTTTAGCAACGATAATGCTGAAGCGTAAGCTTTATCCCTTTCGATCGACTTTTCCCATCGAAGGAGGGAATGGGGATGCGAGAGAGATCATTTGTCTCCGTGAAGGCATGGGCGGCTAATACGAACTCTCGGAGGATACTAGACTGGCGAACAAATGTTATATCAGAGCCGCAGACATATCAGCCGAGACCGGAGATTTCCACAGAGCCATCAATCACTATGAAAGGATTGCTGAAATATCGATGAACAATAATCTCATGAAGTGGAGCGTCAAGGACTATCTCTTCAAAGCTGCGCTTTGCCATTTGGCCACAAAGGTAATAAAGCCACATGTTCTTTTGGGACCATGACGCAGGTGGTGGCGTAGTTTCTCGGGAGTTACTAACCTAGTGGATAGGATATTGTGGCTGCTAAGAGGGCCCTTGAAGGGCAGTACCCTGCTCTTGACCCAGCCTTTAGCCCACCTTCTATGGAGTGCTTGTTCTTGAAGGTATGTTCTTAATAACCCCTCTTATCTATACAGACAAGTAATACTAATACACCTGCCACCCACAGAACCTCCTCGAGTGCGTCGAAAACAGCGACCCACAGGGCTTCTTCGGCAACGTGATGCAATACAAAGAACGGTACCCACTAGACAACTGGAAACTCGACATCCTCGCCAAAACACAAAAGAGCATCGAAGAAGCTAGCGACGATTTGACCTAAGGAGGGTTGAAAATACAACAAAAACGTTTTTGGGAGTATTTTTTTGAATTCTGAAACGATACAAGCTTTGAACTGGGTACAACAAAGGTCCTGCGGAGTTTGCGATTATCTTGGTTTCCTTTTTTCCCTTTTCTTCTTCTTTCTCTTTTGCCTTCGTGTGCAGCTTTTGATTGGAGCTTTGTATTGTTTGGTCCTTCAATGGACTTCTTTGTCTCTTATAGTTGATGCAGCATTTTTCGCTTCTTTTGACGTGTAGGCTTATACCGTTTCTGTTTCCCTTTCCTGTCTGTTGAATCGGATCTTTTATTTTTACGAACTCTACTGGGGTTGTAGATTGGACACTTGCTTCTGGTTTGGTTGCATGGGACAATACTAGATGTGAATCTCGAGACTAGTGTACCCTAGCTGATGACAATAGAACCTCGACCTCTCCTTTTCCTCTCCCCTTTCTAGTTTTTGACTGAACTGGACAGTTGAAGAATGTATCACCTTCCCTTCTGTAGATCTTGATTTTGTGGTAAAAAGAAAAGACTACAGTTAGTATGAATTCCCTGAATCCCTGTGACAGTGTCATTATACCAAGTGGTTTCTAGCCTCTGATATAATATCGATATATATATAACCCCCTGCATGCACGGGTTCTTGCCGATAAACATATGGTATCGATTTTATACTGATCCACGGATTATAATTGTTTCTCATGGGCATAACAGCTTCTCCAAGCATTCCGAAGTATGAAATAAGAGATTCTAGTCCGTTACCCCCTGCCTCAGATTTAAAGATATCTATCCACCAACCTCGTGGTCATTATCGAAGATAACAAAACGTAAACGAGGCCGGTAGACAAATATCCAAATTACTCA